AGGTAAATTATTGGTCAATGAATTCCGGAGGACGTTATATATTTGTGGTGGATGAAATTATAGAGGTATTCTTAGAACTCCAACGTTTTAACAGTAAACGGTATTTATCACGATCATGTATTTACATTCTTTAATATTTAATCGGGAGTTGAATACTCAAAAATAAAAATAAAATAATAATAATCCTTTTTCTGTCGTCGAATCGAAGTCAACTAATAATCAATTTTGATTGTTAACGATATTGTAAATAATTTGATAGTGTATTTTTTTTTGTTTTTAAAAAAAATTTAAAGTTTCTGTATAAGCTAAAAAAAAAAGTAATTTCCAAAGATAAGAAACAAAAACCAACAACTAAATATTCTCGTTTGATTGATAGTCAAATGTGCATGATTTTGATCAAAAACAAAAAAGAATCTACATTTACATTGATAAAATGATGCCGCGCAAATAAATATATTTTCGATACTCGAAATAAAGGTCCCTCAATTTTTCTTACTCTGCTGCAACTGCAGTCTGCTCAGAAATGATGGAGGCTTTTTTTAATTCAGTTAATTCAGTTTCATTTTTCTCGTCTGAATCTTTTGTGATTTCCAACTTGGGTATATCACTCATAGAATGGTGGTGTGATCTTGACAGCCTTTTTAATTTGTTAACGGCACCGATCTAGGAAATTTAAAGTTGGTGATTTCAAATTAGGAAGAATAACGATAATTTAAGTGATGCAATATAAATATCATACCACTGTAAAAACACCTCTAATGCTGATAGGTTTAATGGCCCGAATCAAATCGTCCTCGGTAATTTCTGAAATAAGTTCAGTGCAATTCTCCTCGGTGGATATTAATGGATCATTTCCATGGTTAGTAACCCACGGATGTTCCTGGAAATGATTAAAAAGTCTTTATCCGAGTATTGTCAGCAGATAACAGCAATAGAGAAAACGTATATATATGTATATATTAACTCACACGCAAAACAGACATAGTCGCTCTCTTCGAAGGATCCTTTTCGAGAATCACATGAAGGAGATCGACCAGATCAGGATCTGTTTCTTTCGGAATTTTAACACTGAACACGTAAAGTCGTAAGAATTAGCCGCTTATAAACTTCGAATTGAAATGTTATAAATGTATTCAACCTACTCATCATTCTTTATTGACTCATACAAGTCAATAATATTATCTTCCTCGAAAGGCAGGCACCCAAAAGCAAGACAATATAAGGTTACGCCCATCGACCAGATATCAGCAGCTTTACCGGAAATTTCTCCATGATGTGCTTAGGGTCAGTAATATATATATATATATATAACATATGTACATTTGAAGTTAATGATAAATTCTATCAAGAAATTTCAAATTTCAACTTTCAAAAAGCATTCTACCTATGCATAATTCCTGAAATGTTTCGTAGAGGAAAAAGATGATAAATCATAATGTTCAAATCTATAATTACCGAGAAATCGAAAATACAGGTAGGAATGAAATTTACCGGAGCCATGAAAGCAGGACTACCAGCTGATTTTTTTATCTTATCTTCACCCTTAAATATTTCAGAAACACCGAAATCCACGATTTTTAAAACATCATCTTTCGATAGAAGAAGATTATCTGGCTTGATATCTTTATTCAAGATTAGCGAGAGAGCATTAGCTGACGAATGCTAATTCGAAAATTTTCCGCGCATACACCTACCTCGGTGGACAATTTCATTTTCATGCACTAATAAGTAAATGATTGTATCGATCTAGTGAATGTCTATAAACAAAATGATAACTAAAGCAAGTAAGCTACAAAATTTTAACTTTACTTACAGTACTCAAAGCCAAGTATCATTTCTCTGAAATAACGTCGACATTTTTCGTTGGGAAATGGTGTCGTCTTCTTGTTAATACTAACATCCATGAGAACGCCATTTTCGCATATTTCAAAAACTTACCAAAATGGAGAATTGAGTCTTTGACAAACATTACGTTTTTTGGAAACAATGATCGCATATACTATCAATTGACAATTACCCATATATAGAGAATCGTTATCGGGGTCATCCAAGACCTCATACAATGTTACAACATTTTTGTGGTTTAGCTTCTTTAATACAGCTACTTCGCTACGAATCAAATATAAAGGATCAGTTGGAACATCATTTGGAACGGACGCAGCGCGCCCGCGTGCATTCCAACCTCTACCACGCGGTGGACGACGAAGGCAGTTTGCTTTATCCCTTTTACGAAGGCGAGATTTGCTAAATTCTTTAATCGCCTGTTGGTGGTTTATTTAATGCATAGCGAATAAACGGTTGATATGAATGTAATTAGATGCAACTCTCTTCAGAATAAATTCAAGGACATTCGTTGTTCACGTAGGTATTGTAAATTTGCATTCCGTTTTTCATGACCAATAAAGGTTAGACTGTGGTTCCTTACGTATTTAATGGATGTTTCTTTATCAATTGCCATAATCACGGTTCCATATGCGCCGTGACCAATCTCTTCCTTTAAAATGTAGTTGTTTAGGCAACGTTCCCCATCTTGCGTTTCAGTGACGGTAGCATCTAAAGTTTCTTTAATTTCGTGAGGAACCGACGACTCGCGTCGATGAGTCACGGACATACGTTTCGTGTGTGTTGACGATTTCGGAGAAACGGATTGGGTGGTCATTTGAGGGACGCGCTACTTGAACTTCACAGAGATATAACAATTTCTTATCCGACGCTATATAGGGTAACATTTCATTGTTTCCCGGTGACATCGAAAAATAAGTGATTCTTAATGATTCATATTTGGATAAATGATAATTTATCACGTTTATCTTATTTGTCACTGTTCGCAAATTGATTGTCAATTAATCTCTTTAACATGAGCACAATTCAGGAACTTGAAGTACTCGTTAAGGATCTGGATATCACCACGACAGAAATTTATGTAGCCGATTTTCTCAATTCTCACTTCTGTGAATTAGAAGATTTGGAAAAGTTAGATTCTGTTCTAAACGATTTGAAAAAGAATGAGCAGATTTTAAACGAAAAAGTAAATTTCTCGCGATCAAAAAAAATTCATTAAGAATTCAGTGAATTAATGTTACGAAATTACATTGTATAGTGCGTTCAACTACAGAACGAGACCTTAAAGCCGCTTCAACAGTCATTAAAGTTGTTTGATTCCACAATCGTTAAACTTGAAGAGCTTCAAGCTACGCGTTTGGAGCTGCAAGACACGTTAGCAGAACACTGCGACAAAGTCACCTCGAAGAATTTAACAAATTCGCAAGGGAGATCAACGGATAATAACGTTACATTATTAGAACAACTAGTAAGTTTACAAAAGCAAGTAGACAGCTTAGAGAGGTCCAAGCAGTATCTCAAAATTTTGGTTGTTGCAGAAGAGCTAAGGTGAAGTCTAAAATGCATTTTCTACTAGAGCTATTCGAGCTGTCTTATTTCCACGTCGATTATCCTAATTTTTCGACTTTAAAGTTCGCAAGCTAAACAAATGATCGAAAAATCACCACAAAAAGCCCTTGTAC